TTTTTTTCTCCTCCATTGGATGATTTGGATCCATTCTTGTTACCGTTCCACCGTGATGTCCTTTAAGAGTGAAGCGGCCGTGGAGATGCCTAAACTGATTTCGGTGATGGCCGCCGCTTGAACAGACGGGCGAATCAATGAAATGGAGAAGCTCCACTTCTTGTGTCAGTGGAAGGCTGGAAGCTTAAGCAAAGACGTGAAACCACTGTCGTCGTTCTCAGGAGTTAGCTTCATTAGTTTCCAAAACGCTTTGCCGCCACCAAGATCCTGTAACAGCCCAATGCTCCGGTCAGATCCATAAACGGTAACAATTCTGACAAACAACACCTGGAATTTAGAATCTTAGAGAAAATCTCAAATCTTAAAGGAGGAAGCATAACTTTTTATACTCGTAGACTCATTGCCTCTCAGAAGATGACGACATACTGATGTAGAGATTATGGCTTAAGGAGTTAAGAACATGATTAATGCGGTGGATCCGTAATTGGTGTAGTTTTGTTTGACGGAAAGAAAGCCAAATGATGTATTGGATTCACAGCGAAATGAAGCGACAGGCCGGCTTAATAAAATTTGTTTCCAAGACGGCGGTGAACGAAGGCTATGAGAAACCCTAATCTCTGATGGAATGAAAGTTGAGAGAAAGAGCTTTGTTCGTCTGTGGGCTGGACAATTAACATAACAGAAGGCCCAATAAATAGATGAAGCCCGAATATGTTGGTCTTGCAAATAAATGAAACGCAGAGTATTGTAACTTGGACAGGTGTCACAATGAGGTTGAGTGAATTAGTGACGTGGAGGAGCTTTGAGGGAGAGAACTATCATTTATATATATAGATTGTTAAAATTCATGCATTAGTTTTTTTTTTGTTATACTCTAAAATATCAGTTCTTTTAGATACAAAAACAAAGTCTTAAACATCAGTCATTTCGAACACATGAGAGTATTATAATAACAAATGCGGGCGGGTCCCTCCACTGCCCAAGAATCATTCAGACAGCGAAACAAAAGTTTTTAAAATTGAATCCTGGAAGAATAAGTCTGTCCAAAGGACCAAGAAGAAGGAACAACATTGAGGAAGACTCTTGTAGCACCATCCGTAGTGGTAATGGAGAAGGAGAGAGCTTGGCCATCGAGATAAGCGTTTGATTGCCAGTTAGCTCCCCAGTTACGTGACATGGGTAGCCAACCAGTCTTTGATCCTTTTATGGAGACAGATTTAATCGACCCTGCTCCTCCTACGTTTGATATGTTCACTAGCTCGAAGTAATCTCTTCCATTTATTCTGAATCTCACTCCTCCTTTCTTGTAACAGCTTACTCTGTTTTTACCAGACCAAACAATATAAAAACACATGAGATACTTTTTCATTTAGAAAACTACTTAAATTTTCAAACAAAAACACCCCTAAAATTTTCAAAATCCATGACAGGTTTTCCAATAGCTTCAAAACTAGAATCTTCAATCCTGATAAACTGAACCAAACTAATCTAAACCAAAATGAATCAGAGTGTAATTTGTTTATGTGACAGAATTAAGGGTTTAATTTGCATAGAAATGGGTTAAAATGATCAGATGGAAAGTTAATGGGTCATTTGCGATTTACTTCAAAAGATAAAATATATCGAAGTTTTTTTTTTTTTAAGAAGTTTCTAAGAGCATCATTATGGGTGGTCCCTTAACGTTGTCCAGTCCCGCTAAGGGACAACGCTAAAAGACCATTCATAATGTTGCTCTAACCTTTGGAACACTAACCTTTGGAACACGACGGGAACAATTCCACCTCTATAAATGCCGATTTTTTCCCAAGCGGGTTGTGCCATGTCGAAATGTTTTAGCGGCGGGTTGCACCAACCACCGTTGTTGCTCGGAAGAGCGAAGTTTGGTGGGCAGAAGTTAGTTGCTGAAATAACCACCGAAGCTCCTTTCTTGCACCACCGCGAGTCCGCAGCATAATCACACGTTATTCTATAGCATTCTCCGCAAGAAGCTCCGTTGTTAAACAGAGCCGTGCTTAACGCCGCCGTCATTGTCCCGTACCCCGCCGAGTAGAGATCTCCGTACCCACAAGCCCCACCTGAATAAATAAAAATCATCAGTTTTCATCAAGTAACTGACAAACTATATGCAAGTATATTTTCTATGCAGTTAAAGTTACCCATTGTTCCAGAAGCGTCACTCCCTCCATAAAATGTGGCGTGACCATTTATTAAACCAGAAGGCCTAAACGCATCAACCGCTATAAAAAGAGCGGCCAAAACCGTAAATACAGCTAGAGACTTTGCCATTACTATTAATTTGTAGAAGAAAGGAAGAGATTATGATAGTGATGATGATGGCGTGAAGTAGAGAGTGTTGTTTATATATAAAGGTGTGGAGTGTAAACTATGTAGTAGAAACATTTCTTTTTATATTATTGTCTGGCAAATCTTCTACATGTATATGTTTGTAAGTAACAATGTAAAAGTCCAAAAATACAGTAGATATATCTGCCTATATTGGTCTGAACTTTATACGTATACTATGGTTATAAAAATTCCCATGATAATATTATTTTTGGAGTTTAGGAGAGTGGCTGAAAGTCTAACCAGATAACAAATTAGCGTAAACTATTGGATCCTAAATACACCCTTATCATACATTTAATTTATAATCAAAATTAAGGATATAAATCAGGGATCGGTGGTTTGTTTTTTCTTTCAGATTATGTACTGTGCAATGCGGTGGAATTTATTATTTTGCGTAAACAAATGAATAAAAGAAGTAGAAAGAAAGACAAAAGAAAAAGAAAGTTTTTGTTTGTTTGTGATGTGCACTACAATTATGTGCAGGTTCATCACTCACATACTCATATGCTCACTTGTCGTGCATTATTAGCAACACGTCAAATAGCTTTCTAGTTATTAAGTACGATTTGAAATTATTCGTCCATCAAAACCTGAATTTCAATCTTTGTTAACGAAGACCACCGTCACGGCGTCGTTTGTCGCTTTACACAACCTGCCATTTCTTACAAAAATAACAATATCATATCTGAAACTTCAATCCAAAATTTAGACTACACTAACTATACAAAGTATATTGGATCCAACAAGTTTAATGACAGAGAACCTTATTTAAGATTTGATTAGAGTGTAAGAAACCTTAAGCCAATGACATTGGTGATGTCGCTTAATTAGTATGTCGCCATCAAAGAGTCTGGGAATCTGTCACTGATTTTTGTCATTATTCTGAGTCTGACCCCCTAGTTATGCATATGTCGAGTTAGAATGCGATTCTTGAGTTTGTGGCTCATTCGTAGAGTAGATGAACTGATGCTTTCCGCTAATAGTCTTTTCTAAGTATTTTTATTTTGTTTGAATGATATTACTAATAAAACAAAACATAGCATCGAAGTCGTTGTAGTATAGTGGTAAGTATTCCCGCCTGTCACGCGGGTGACCCGGGTTCTTCCCCAGCAACGGCGATAGCCTTTTTTACACGTACGGGATCTTTTTGTTGAATTTGTGGGCCTTTTTCCACACGTAAACCAAAACCCAATCAGCACATCATTGTGGCTCAAACGTCAAAAGATTTTTTGTTTTAAGCATTTTCCCTGCTGTTGAGAATCAAAAGAATGCTAATGATTGGCGTTGAAGAAGGCTTGTAACTTGAAGACTCCCATCATGTTTTGTTCGAGTAAAAATAAATACCATGATGGTATGATTCCAAAATTTCCAATGTACTCAAAAACAGAGCTAAAACTAGAAAATTGTCTGGAAACTTAAAAAAACCCAAAGGTTGTAACATCCCACAAACAAATGAACATATTATATAACCTAAAGGCAAAACGAAAAGAGAGAAATTATGCTACGGTAACATCTTTGTCTTTTTTTGATGGAGAATGAAGGGAAATAACAAAGTTCATTCAACAACACCGGTCACTTAAGCAGCTGCCTGAATCGGTGGTCCATTTGATCTGTTAAACCCGCCACGGCCTCCTCCTCTTCCACGACCTCCCCTTCCACGGCCACCTCCTGTTTCAACAACTTTTCCACTTTAAAAACCAATGGCCATACTAGTTTAAAACATTACGTATTGAGAAAAGAATGGAGGTTTTAAGATATCATCGTACCACGGCCCTGAGGAGGAGCATCATATCCATAATCCTGTTGAGGATTGTATCCATAGTCTCCTCCATGTTGTTGAGCTTCATAGTATTGTTGAGGACCATTGTACCCACCTCTTCCACGACCACCACCACGTCGTCCTCCTCTCCCGCGGCCTCCTCTTCCTCTACCAGATGACCGCTCAGGCTCCATACCTCCATCATCATACTCCTGATACTGTGGAGGAGGAGCATTGTTTCCATAGTCTCCTCCATCTTGTTGAGCTTCATAGTGATGTTGAGGACCATTGTAACCTCCTCTTCCACGACCACCACGTCCTCCACCTCTACCGCGCCCTCCTCTTCCTCTACCAGATGGTCGCTCAGGTTCCATACCTCCATCATCATACTCAACGTTCACATATCCATCCCCTGGAAAAAAAAATCAAACCCACAAAATTAAAACCCTTATCAAAGGATCAGGTAAAACTAAGATTTTGGAAAGAAAATACAAAAGCAATCATACCTCTGCCACCTCTTCCTCTTCCCATTCCCCTTCCTCGGCCTCTTCTTGCTCTGCCTCTTGGTGATCCATCTACAGCACATAGATACAGATGATAAACTTAGACAAAGACAAGAGTTATGGAGTTCAAAAAGTTCATTTAATGAGAGACTGTAAATACCATGGCCTTCGTAATCAATCTCAGCTAAAGGCTTCACCATCTCAATAGGAATCGGAGGTTGGTACCTGCAATATCAGTAAGTAAGTGATCATTAGCATTAGAGACAATGTATCTATCTCTCTAGAAAAAAATCCTGCTTGAGACACAGAACCTTTGTGATTACAAAATATATAAACAAAAGCACTGGAAAAACTCACCCAACAGAGGATGTGTTCAGCTCCTTCTTCGAAAGAGTTATAGTGATCAACGACACATGCCTTGTCGTCTCAATTCTACAGGATAAAGATAACAAGATTAAGAGCACAGCATTGTAATAAGAGTCCTATCACAAATATAAAAAAATGTCAATCAACTTACGGAAGAAGGCCTTCCTCTTTAGGTTCCCAGGTATCAGTTATGTCCGTGGATCCAATAGATGTGTTCTGGTGAAGACCAGGAATCCTTCTCTGCAATGAAGAATACAAGAATAATGTTCAGATACACTAGATCCTCCCTTTCTGTTATCATGACCAAGCAAAACCACAAAAAAAAAACACACCTTAATCAACTCAGCAATGTTCACAGTCTTGTTGATAGCTCTTCCCATTGCCTTGAAAATAACTTCATCTGATCCTTTCTCCTATATTACCAAAAAAAAAAAAAAAACTGTGAGACACGAGCATAAAGAGTTTTGTAATAAAAATGGAAAGCAAAGACAACACTATCAAATGATGTTTAAAAGACAGACTCTCTGTAATAACCAAACCACCACAGATGACATAATTAATAGACTTAAAAAAGGTATCAATATTACAAAATTAATACACAATTAAACAAACCACTTGCTCTTTCGGACATACTCATGTTTCGATTTTCTACTAAATCAGACAAGAGATGTAAGAACATAAATGCTATTTAATCATCTGAATAAAATCATAAAACGCCATAGAAGAAACTGAATCAAAAACAAACGTATCTCAGATTCACCGAAGAAAACAAACAATACCTGAAGAAGAGCCATCGCGTAGGTGATGCAGTTTCTCGCCCTACCGGTACTAGTGATACGAATCTCGTTCTCAGCAATCGGAGTCTCATCCTTCGGCTTCGCAACACGCTCATACATGTCCATCTTAACAACAACAAACACAAATCAGAAGAGCTCTTCTCATAAACAAATTCGTTCAACGAAGGTTTATACAGATAATAATACTGATTCGAATCAGGTTGTTCTTATAACCGTCGCGAATTGATTGAATGCTTTACCTTGTGTGATTGTTGGGGGTTAGATCCTTGGAAACCCTAGAAGATTTGGATAAGCAAGGAATTAGAGCGGTTTTGTACGAAGGCGCCCTCTCATATATAACAGCCGCACCAGTGAAACTGCCCTAATTGATTTCCGGTTTGTGAATTTTAACTTTAAACCGGCTCAAACCGAACCGAGGATAAGACATTAATATCCTCTGTTTTTGATTATCTCTTCGTAGAATTTAGTTTCAGACACGATATGTAATGAACTTCTAATTTTCTTAAATTACGTATTTTATAATGAAATTAATGGCTACTTGTGTTTATTTAATACTCCCTTAACATATTTCGAACTGTTGTGCACACGAGAGATCGGTGAACTAAATGTTCTTTCATATCATCAAAGCATTCTCTTTATGCTATTATTAAACTAAACCAGTTAACAAACGAATAATCCCAAATCGTATTTGCTACAATTATTTCGGTTTACTTGCACCTGCTACGGTACCGGTCGGCCAGTTTGTTAGAATGGTCAAGCTCAATATTCGTGGTGAAGTGTATGGTTTTCCTGGAAGATTATCCGACTAGACGTTAAGGCGTAGGAAAAGGTCAACAAATGGTGGTTGTCTGTGGGCTAAAGAAGTCTATTAATGGACTTTCTCATACAAAGATGTTAATAAAGTGTTTGACAAAAAACCCACATCTTACTTTAATTGGCAAAAAAAGAAGAAAAAATCTATGCTCTCCATCACATAATTACATGTCATCATCTCTATGTACTTGTATTCATTCTATAAAAGGAGGCCTGGAAAAGAAAACAAAGATAAATCTCCCAACCACTGCATTTAAGTCTAGTACCATGTCACTGCTTAGAGCACATTTGATTAACTCTATTTTAATAAGCATACTTATGTTTTTCTTTAAAAAGAAAATAATTGAAAACTAGTCATATTTTAAAGTGTTTTGTTCAAATATTAGAATGCCTATAAGATGTCGAACATGTAACTAAAAATTGTAAACATGCATGATTTTATGCTTATGTGCAGTCCAGATTATTTCTCTACGGACAAATTGTGGATAATAAAAATATGTCTAGTACATTATGTGTGAGCGACATCATAAAAAAAAGCACTACTAATAAGATGGCTGCGTGAGGAATGAAAGGAAGGCGTCCTTTATCTTTCCTTCTCGTGGTGTAACCAGAGGATCAATGGTGTTTTTCCATCCTTCAAAATCCATGGGAGAACCAGCATCGGGCAGCTCAAACCCATTCACATAGAAGGTTGGTGTTGCGGAAACTCCTCTTGAAACGCTATACTGTAACATAACAAAGGCCAGATAGTCCATGGAGTGGACAAAACTCTTTTATTGCTCACTCCATATGAGCAATAATCTATGTAAAAACTGAGAAGATTAAAAAGCTGAAGGGATCACACCTTGAAGGAAACCCTAGTGGCATGATCAGATATTGAGTTGCGGAAGCCAGCTTTCAGATGATGATGATACGAGCTACCTAATGTAACTGTCCCGAGTTTGACTAACTTGTCCACAACTGCTGGTCTTGACATGAATTGTGTTTGCGAGTTGTAGAACAATGCCTGTTAAAACAATATCAACCAAAACCATAAGTACTCATCATAGACAAGGGTTTTCATTACACCACAGCGAAACAGAGCAAAGAAACAGAACCGCAGATATAAAATTTCCTCTGTTTTTAATACATGCAAAGTTTAAATTTTTAAATACGCTAATCGAACCTGATGCTTGAAGATCCCTTCCAGAAAACTGAACGTGGCATTAGCGTTTATAGTATTCACAATGTGTAAGGCCCGAGATACAACAAACGCATTGTCATGGAACCTGCATGATCCAATAAAAAAACACCAAACATAAATAAAGTGTAATAATACGGAAAATCAGTAAAAAGGAAAGAAAATCAAACACTCAACGGCAAAGGGAGGAGGTGGAGAACAAGAGCAACACGAGATCCGTAGTGATCAACCGCTAGCTTTAACGGTTCCCAAGCGTCTGTGCAATCGGAGCAAACCGGGTCAAAATACGCTTCGATAAGTATCGTATCCGGTTCGATCTTCCGACCCGGTGGATACACGAATCCCTCGCGTGTAGGCGGGGGTAGTTGCTGCGCTTGTACGCTTGTTCCGACGAGCAAAGCAACGAACAATAAAGGCTTTCGAATCATTTTCGCTCCTCCCTCTCTTTCTGTGGATCGATTTCTCTTATGATGAGAGATTTTAACGGCCAAGATTTCTCGGAAAGTAAGTGAGACCCAGTCTTTAAATTTCAACCGTTGATTTCTAGTTATGGTGACGTGGCATACGTTATTAGATGATTGACAAAATCAACGGTTAAGATTCCTCGAAAGCTAAGTGGACCTAATCTTTCATCTCCAGCCGTTGATTCCCGATTATGGTGACGTGGAGGATTTATAATTATAAAGTGATTAATATTAAGCGGGAAAGTTTTATTTTTTATTTTGTGTCAAAGCAATGACAAAAGTTCTTCCACTGATAGAGAAGATCCCACAAACGATCCTTGGATTCTTAGAATCTTCTCCATCTTGTTGGTCCTCTTCTCTATCAAAGACAACGCAAGCTCATGCTCATCTACTCAAATCGGGAGCCCAGAACGATGGCTACATCTCCGCAAAACTCATCGCTTCCTACTCGAATTACAGCTGCTTCGACGACGCGAATCTCATCTTACAATCGATTCCGGATCCAAATGTATACTCTTTCTCGTCTCTTATCTACGCGTTAACAAAGGCCAAGCTTTACTCCCAATCTCTCGGCGTGTTTTCTCGGATGTTCTCTCGTGGGTTGATTCCAGATACTCACGTTCTTCCCAACTTGTTCAAAGTCTGTGCTGAGTTATCGGCTTTTAGAGCTGGTAGACAGATTCATTGTGTGTCGTGTGCGTTGGGGTTGGATGGGGATGGGTTTGTTCAGGGCTCTTTGTTTCATATGTACATGAGGTGTGGTAAGATGGGTGATGCACGGAAGGTGTTCGATAGAATGCGTGAGAGAGATGTTGTGACTTGTAGTGCTTTGCTTTGTGGGTACGCGAGGAAGGGTTGTTTGGAAGAGGTGGTTCGGGTACTCTCTGAGATGGAAAGTGAGGGTATTGAACCGAATGTCGTGTCTTGGAATGGGATTCTTAGTGGGTTTAATCGTAGCGGGTATCATAAGGAAGCGGTGGAGATGTTTCAGAAGATGCATCATCTGGGTTTTTTACCTGATGAGGTTGCTGTTTCAAGTGTTCTTCCTTCTGTTGGAGACTCGGAGAGGTTGGATTTAGGGAGGCAGGTTCATGGGTATGTGGTTAAACAGGGTTTGCTGAAGGATAAATGTGTTATTAGTGCGATGATTGATATGTATGGGAAGTCTGGTCGTGTGTATGGGATTATAAAACTTTTTGAAGAGTTTGAGGTGATGGAGACCGGGGTTTGCAATGCATGCATTACAGGGCTGTCTCGAAATGGTCTTGTTGACAAGGCCCTTGAGATGTTTGAGTTGTTCAAGGAACAGAAGATGGAGCTAAATGTGGTGTCATGGACTTCAACCATAGCTGGATGTGCACAGAATGGGAAAGATATTGAAGCCTTGGAACTGTTTAGAGAAATGCAGGTTGCTGGAGTGAAGCCAAACCGTGTAACAATCCCTTCAATGCTTCCAGCGTGCGGAAATATAGCAGCGTTGGTTCATGGGAGATCGGCTCACGCATTTGCTGTACGAATCCACCTTTTGGATGATGTTCATGTAGGAAGCGCTCTGATTGACATGTATGCCAAATGTGGAAGAATCAACATGTCTCAGGTTGTCTTTGATATGATGCCCACGAAAAACTTAGTCTGCTGGAACTCTTTAATGAGTGGATACTCAATGCACGGGAAGGCCAAAGAAGTCATGAGCATATTTGAATCTCTTGTGAGAACGAGGTTAAAGCCTGATTTCATCAGCTTCACAAGCTTATTATCAGCATGTAGTCAAGTAGGTTTAACAGATGAAGGATGGAGATACTTCGGCATGATGACTGACGAATATGGGATTAAACCGAGGTTGGAACATTATTCTTGCATGGTGAGCCTTCTTGGACGCGCAGGGAAGTTGCAAGAAGCATATGATATGATACAGGAGATGCCTTTGGAGCCAGACTCTTGCGTCTGGGGAGCTTTGCTAAACTCTTGCAGACTTCAAAACAATGTAGAGTTAGCTGAGATCGCAGCAGAGAAACTTTTTGGTTTAGAACCAGAAAACCCAGGGAATTACGTTCTTTTGTCCAATATTTACGCAGCTAAAGGCATGTGGGAAGAAGTAGACAGTATTAGAAACAAGATGGAGGGTCTGGGGATGAAGAAGAACCCGGGTTGCAGCTGGATTCAAGTGAAGAACAAAGTGTACACGCTTCTTGCTGGTGACAAGTCGCATCCGCAGATAGATCAAATAACAGAGAAGATGGATGAGATTAGTAAAGAGATGAGGAAATCAGGTCATCTCCCAAATTTGGACTTTGCGCTGCAAGATGTGGAGGAGCAAGAGCAAGAGCAGATATTATGGGGACACAGCGAGAAACTAGCAGTAGTGTTTGGTCTTCTGAACACACCAGAGGGGACACCACTTCAGGTCATAAAGAACCTTAGGATATGCGGAGATTGCCACTCAGTCATTAAATTCATATCGGGTTACGCCGGTAGAGAGATTTTCGTTAGAGATACGAATAGGTTTCATCACTTTAAAGATGGTGTTTGTTCTTGTGGAGATTTCTGGTGACATTTTTAGTGGGAATTTCTTTTTACTATAAAAAGATTTTGGATCATCATGTTTTTTTCTACTATACAAGTTCTTTAGAAAGCTTATGAATGGTAATCCTACAGAAAATATAGTGCATGATACTTTCAAGATTCATAATTACTTTTGCTCGAAGTAAATAGAAAGATATAAAGAATTATAACATAGATGAATATGTTAGCACCAAGCCCGTCTAGCTCAGTTGGTAGAGCGCAAGGCTCTTAACCTTGTGGTCGTGGGTTCGAGCCCCACGGTGGGCGCTTTTCTTTTTTCTTTTCTTTTCAGAAATTTTAATGAAATATCTCCCCCCCCCCTAAAAAGGACAAAAACTTTTCGCTCGAAAAATAATAATTCTAGATTTCCAGGAAAAATAATAATAATAAATATAGTCAGATATCATCCAACCACGTTTTCACAGAGAGCCACAGCATCACAGACCATTGCGGTTTTCTCTCTCTCAATCTCCCTCTCTCTCTCTGATTCGATCGATTAGTTTCCAGGTACGTGATTCATTTGTTCATCAGATCCTTCATCACTCACATTCAAGGCCTCTAGTAGTTTGATCGGATCGAATTTTCAGTTGATTTGGTTCCATTTTTGATATCGATCTGTTTTTCCCGCGTCGCGTTTTGTTCGCAGGAGCGGTTTGATTTGATATCGATCTGTGACAATGGTGGCGGCTGGAATCGACATGGATGAAGGAGCTCTCGAGATCGGAATGGGTGAGTTGATTTTTTATACCGATCTGTTTGGATTCTCTCTATAACGTTGAGTTGACTAAGAGATGATGATGTAGATGAGATTTCTTCGTTGATTCACATATCAGTCGTTTTCTGTAGCTGACGTTACGTAATGTTATCTGATTTGAGAATGCTTTTGAATGGAATTGTGTAGAGTACAGAACTGTCTCTGGTGTTGCGGGACCCTTGGTCATCCTTGAAAAAGTGAAGGTATATATAAACATTGATGTAGATAAAAAGCTTTTGCCATCGTTCGTTTTTTTAAGGAATACTTTACTGACTCTAAAACTGTTGATAATATACCTACAGGGTCCAAAGTACCAGGAGATTGTTAATATTCGCTTAGGTGATGGATCTATGAGACGTGGTCAGGTTCTGGAGGTTGATGGCGAGAAAGCTGTTGTCCAGGTTCATGATTTGTTCTATGTTACTCTAGTTTGAATTCTGCATTACACTTCAGCACATGATGTACAGTTTTACTTGTTCTTAGCAACTTATTCATCTAATGGTTAATTTTAGGTTTTTGAAGGAACATCTGGAATTGACAACAAATTTACTACTGTGCAATTCACAGGAGAGGTATACATCATAAGCCTTCTTCATGTTAAACTAAATGGATATGTTAAATGGTTGGGAGCTTTCTAAGAACTGAGAACTGCTATAGTTTTTTTGTTTTAACATTTCTGTTCATGGTATGTGTTTCAGGTGTTGAAGACACCTGTATCACAAGACATGCTTGGCCGCATATTTAACGGCTCAGGAAAGCCAATTGATAATGGCCCTCCTATTTTGCCAGAGGCATACCTTGACATCTCTGGTGAGTGTTTATTTGCCTCATTGTGTGATCACTGAAAGCCAAATTTTTGTTGTTGTTGTTGCTTTAATTGTGTTGATAAATATTATTTATAGGAAGTTCAATCAACCCCAGTGAAAGAACCTACCCTGAAGAGATGATTCAGACTGGGATTTCTACCATTGATGTCATGAACTCTATCGCTCGTGGACAGAAGATTCCTCTCTTCTCTGCTGCTGGTCTACCTCACAACGAAATTGCTGCTCAGATTTGTCGTCAGGCTGGTCTTGTTAAGCGGTTGGAAAAGACTGAGAACCTAATTGAGGTAAACATTTGCTCCATTTACTACCACTAAAGTACTTTTATGTTCTGAGGATCATGCTGAAGGGTAAGTGTGTGTGTGCACATTCACTTTCTAACTAATGTGGAAGGATTGAATCATCTCTTTGAATCCGTGTAACATGTAACTGGATATATTTGCAATACCATTGAATTTTTAAGCATACTTCTGTGACCATTGAGTATCCTACTTTGTAATTTCAGTCCCGGATTGTTTGGTTTGCATTGTGAAACCCTTCAATCTCTTCCCTTGTGTTTTTCCAGCAGGATCATGGAGAGGACAATTTTGCTATTGTCTTCGCAGCTATGGGTGTAAACATGGAGACAGCTCAGTTCTTCAAGCGTGATTTTGAGGAAAATGGATCAATGGAAAGGGTTACCCTTTTCCTGAACCTGGTAACTTAAATCTTGTGATATCTATGCTTCTTGACTTCGTCGATAGTAATAATATATTATCTCAATGATGTATTGATATTTCGTATGCATTTCACTCCAACAGGCAAATGACCCGACCATCGAGAGAATCATCACTCCTCGAATTGCCCTCACAACTGCAGAATATTTAGCTTATGAATGTGGGAAGCACGTGCTTGTTATATTGACAGACATGAGTTCTTATGCAGATGCTCTTCGTGAGGTAAAATGTTTTTCATTTTGCCCTCTTTTGTCCCATGATTTGATTTAGGTTTCCGCACACCTCAGCCAGCATGTAATGTGTTATACACAACACTATGTTTTCTGGAGTCTACTTACATATTTCGACAAATTTTAGGTCTCTGCTGCTCGGGAAGAAGTACCTGGAAGACGTGGATATCCGGGTTATATGTACACAGATCTTGCAACTATTTATGAGCGTGCAGGGCGTATTGAAGGAAGAAAGGGTTCCATCACCCAAATCCCTATCCTGACTATGCCCAATGATGGTAAAACGTCATTTCATTCTTCGATGAATTCTGTCTGATTGAATAAAGATCACAACATCTCTTGTTGTAATACTCAGACATCACTCACCCTACTCCGGATCTTACTGGTTACATTACCGAAGGTCAGATATACATTGACAGGCAGCTTCACAACAGACAGGTACCATATGCTTTACACATTTTACATATCTATCAATATTTTTTTCTAATAAACCAAAAAAGGGTTTCTCATCGATACTCAATGATTTCTGATTTTTTTTTCTGGTTCTTCCCTAAAACAGATATACCCACCCATTAACGTGCTTCCATCACTTTCTCGATTAATGAAGGTAGCCAAGCTATTTGTTTATTTACCCTTATGGTGTTACAGGAATTTAAACATACTATGACTTATTAACTTGACCATTGTTCAATTTTGCAGAGTGCTATTGGTGAGGGAATGACTCGTCGTGACCATTCTGATGTGTCCAATCAGGTTCGCAATCCATATGATCTTACTCTTCTAAGGTATCTAGCATGTTCATTTAGTATCATCAAACCTAACCCTCAATATTCTGTATAAATTTTCAGCTCTACGCAAACTATGCTATCGGGAAGGATGTTCAAGCCATGAAAGCTGTCGTTGGAGAAGAAGCTCTTTCATCTGAGGATCTGGTACCTTTCTTTACTGAATCACATTCATGTTCATATCTTTACTCACAACAATAGTTACTCATGTTTTGTGTTGATGTTATACAGCTGTACCTAGAGTTCCTGGACAAATTTGAGAGGAAGTTTGTGATGCAAGGAGCCTACGACACAAGAAACATCTTCCAGTCACTTGACTTGGCATGGACACTGCTCCGTATCTTCCCTCGTGAGCTTCTCCACCGTATTCCTGCCAAAACACTTGATCAATTCTACAGCCGCGATGCCACAAGCTAAGCCTTTTTAAACAGCCTATATATTGCTCTATCCTCGTCTTATTTGGATTATGTTGAGAGAAGAAAAACAAGATTTGCGTGAAAACGAGAACACAAACTCAGAGAATTGTGATATTTGGATTATTCGTTTGTTTTTTCATCTGTGTAATAAAGGTTTGTGTAGTAGGGATAAACTACGCACGAAAACTCTTATTTATAAGCCTTCTATGCCTTACAAGCTGGTGAATCATGTCTTTTTTGTTGTTGTGTAATAAATCTATTCCTTCAGACTTTTATTAAATCTTCTATACAATGTTTTACATACTATCGCTCAGTTCTCTGGAACATAGAGAAATGATTGCTAAAGAAGACCTCCAAAAATGAGTCAATGGCACAATTCAAATCACGTATGGTCCAGGCCGTTTGAGCATTTGGGTGTATGAAAATAAAAGGGTCGACGAGTATAAGTCATCTTTTATATGAAGATGACATTTTTATTTGAATAACGTTATAATAATTCACAACGTCTACTCAATGACAGACACAAGCTGATGGGTCATATAACAGTGAGCAACAATGTCTCTCCCTAAGCCATCCTAATGTAATCTAACAATTCCCTCCCTTTTGGTATTCTCTACTGATATTATATATATGAACCTCTGAATCACAATACACTGAGCCGCATGGAAAACAAAATTAAACAAACATCCACCTCTCTTTCCCTCCAATTTTTGGTTCCCGTCTAAAAAACAGTATACTGTCCTGCCCAACAACAACAACAACAAAAAGAAGATAATGTAAGAACCAAGAGTGAGCATGTATGTTTGGGTAGTATCGCTACTGGAAATGCTCTAGGAGAGGAAACTAATTTTGAGTTACACAGATTAGTTGATGTTTACAGCATTTCTTCACTGATGATTAAGTAATTTACTCAAAACCCCTAACCACTCTATTGCTCAAACAAACATAAATGACAGACTTTCGTTTCAAACTTAAGGAGAGAATGGGAGCGTTACCAGCAAATCAAAGACACTAGATTTTGTACTCGCCGACATGCATCCATTTGGTAGATGACCACTTGTTCCCTCTAATCACAGGACATCCACCTACAGCCAATGAGTACATACATTAGCAACTAATACACTCAATAGTATTCGTTAAAAACAAATTTACAGGGGGTGTTTTATATGGTTTTTTATAATATACCATGTAAGCTTGAGGGATCTAGTGTAGCATCGGGCCTCATGCTCCAGAATAGCAACGCATCGCCCATCCTAGGCTTTACGGAGAGTCCCTTTTTACCACACTCAGAGAGCTCATTATACCATGGTACAGAACTAAAATTCATATTGGCAGCAGGAAACACTGTTTCACCGCCTTCTTCAACATCCGACCTGTATAGAATATTAAGAGTTTTTTTTTTTTTACTTGTATAAGAGAAAGAAGACACGATAGGACTAGCCAACCTTAAAAGTAAAAGATCTTACAGATACATGAGCATTGTAGCCATCCGTTGACCGCCATTCTTAGTGTTGAACTCGTCAACAAAGTAATCATAGTGTGGTTCATACTTTTGCCCTTCTTCATAGTGAAGAACTTGAAGTCCTTCCCCATGATCTGCACTTTCCAGAATCAATCATCTTAAAGCACAATACTAAGTGTCATAATTTTATCATGCAGAAGAAAAATTAAATTCTGTTTTGACAGTAACTTAATATAAACAAATGCGTTTGAATTTGATCACTGAAAAGTAACCAATACCTGCTGGAATAAAGGTGTAATCTGCAATTCTTTTCTCAATGGTCTTAATGATTTTGTCCCTTCCTCTCCTAAGGAAAGTCCCTGAGCTTGTCCGCACCCTAAATGTGTATACAAAATTCACACATCATCAGAAAAAAAAAGTATTTATTTTTCCTTCTTTCAGACAATATCCATGGAAAAAAAGAAGAAGAAAGCGAACCTGCTGTCTTTGCTTTTCCCAGTTTGGCTATCTACAACAGTTGACTTCACCATATGTGGTTTAGCAAGACTGATTAAATACTCACATTCTTCCTTCGACTGGTCAAAAAAATCATAATTAAATTAATATTCTAAAAGATTTAAATTTTAAGTTTCGGACATGCATCAATTCAGACACTAAAACATCCATTGTAATAAAAGTTTCGTTTGAAATAAGAAGACAAACCAAGAAGTTGTGGTAGACGAAAGCTCTAGGTTCCCAAGAGAGCACTTCAGTCCACTGATCTCCTCTCTTCCCAAGTCCCTCCTCACTTCTGCAAAATTCGAGAAACAATTTGAATTAAAAAAAAAAAACATTCCGACCAAACAAAAATAATAAATTTCAGACAGATCAAAAGTTCGGACAGAGAGCTCAGGCACCTCTCAGTTGCAGCTCGTCGGAAATAAGAGAGATCCATGGGAGAAGATTCGTCGTTGTTATTAATGGGAAGAGAGAAAACCCCAAAAGCAAGAAGCATCAAGAGAACAATCGTTAACATGAAAAGCATAAACAGAACCAGCATCAATGTCGACCATTTCCTCGCCTGTAATAATCTCTGCGACTGTCTCAGCTTCGCCATCACCTCGTAAGATCCACACAATCAACAAAGAAAACAAAACTTTGTAAAACCAGGAGAGTGAGAGATAGGAATCGATCGGAGAAGAGAATCTCACAAAACCCCTGAGATGCAGAAACAAAAAAAAGTAAATATATTAATGATCAAAATTTAGTATTTCTCACTTATAATTCTTCTTCGTGTCTTTATTTTCTATATTTGTTCTAACGCCGTGTCTCTACAAAAGTGTAATGACACTTATACCCTTGATTTTACAATAATCGGTCTTTGATAGATGCGAATGATTACGTAAATTTACATGGAATTGGTTTTTCCCTCAGCACAATGTTTTATTTTTCTACGCATGAAATCAACCAATGGGCTAATACATTATGAAATTCTTCTCTATTTAAAAAAATAATTCTATTTCTTTAAGTAGATGATGTGTTTTTAATTTGGATAGATTTCCAGACTGTTTTTGTCAAAGTAAAAATAGATTTCCAGACTGTTATAGATTATTTTCCGTTGATTGTTTTTTGGATGAGATTGGAATTGGGAAGCCCTGTTTTAATTTTCTAAAATGTCAGGCTTTTAGCTATGGTTTACACCTGATCAGAATAATTATTAAGCTATAAATAAATTGAGATCATTACAGTATCTGGTAAATGTAATGACAAAGTTGTTCAACTTACATTGTTACTTTATATATGTAAAAATGTTTTAAAAACCTATAAATGTGACAAATCCAAAAAGTCATTGTGAGTGTCGGAGAACGAGAAAGTCAATACGTGAACGGAACGTTTACAAATTACAAGTAACGTCATTAATTCCTTTTAGCAATAACTAAATTTAAAATTTCAGAAAAAATAATCATCAACTGCTGAATTATTTGGGCTTTTATAAGTTTTTTAAATGGGCTTACTTATATGAATATACGGGCCTAGCTAAACCTGGAACACAACAGAAAATCATTGTCGACACAACAAAGTAGGACGTGCGTACTTCGAAGTAACAACCGATCAAACATAATTCTCATAATACAATCAAAGACTCTTATAAAAAACACAGTATGATACCTTCGCAAGATCAACTCAATGCAATCCCAAACAATCTTCTCATCAGAAAACCCAAAAAAAAAATCTCACCATCAAACCAAAGAATAAAGATACATCAATAATGAAACTCATCAAACTTAGTCAATCCAAAAAGTGCACCAAACCACTTATCGATCATTCTGCGAATGCTTATCTTAAAGAAAAGGAAACATCCATTATCATGATCGTGAACTTCGTCGTCGTTGTTATCAAAAGGCACTTCCTGCCAGTAGATACGCTGGGACGTCTCTGGATCAAATAGAAGTTCTTTAACTTTGACGTAACGCCGTTGTAACGACTTAGGCATATGCTCGAAGGGAGGCGTCGGGGTCCCAGCTGGATAACCGACGGGGTTCAGATCCTTTAACGACACGAGCTCCTCTATTCTCCTCTCGTTCGCCGGTCTCAGCACCGACGGTAATATCTGATAAGAACCCAGTGATTGTCTTTTTTTCTGAGGTTTTGGTGTAAGAATTAAAAAATAAACTACATAAAAGGGTTATAAGTTTATGAAATTATGGAATGAATGTTGGGTTAGAACTTAAATACTAGTCCGACTAGGAATTAGATGGAATCGAGAGAGAGCACAAGCGAATGTCAGGTGAAATTTCCAAAGGTTAGATATTATGACATGATTCAAGATTGAAGAAGGTTTAAAACTTTAGAAAGAGTCTTTTCTTTTAAATTAGTTCCAAACCATTTGGCTTTAGGATTCGTTTTAGGACTTTTTACTTATATTGGCTGGCCAAAGGTTTGAAACTATCATATGTTTATTTTTATATAAGAGAGACATTTCTTCTTAGAAAAGGGAGTGAGAAATCGGCATGGTCAAAGCTGCTTATAGACTTCACAATGACTAAATGGAACAATTAGAATCATCCATGTGATGACTCACATATAGTCTTAGCTCCAGAAAGTGGCCATGCATCATATAATACGTGTAAACGACTGTGTTCCAATGTTTGTAAAAGGAATGAAATTAGTAACTTTCTCATGAATTCTAATTTGACATATTATATTTAAGAAATAGATTACGTCATTAGTTGAGTTATATTCGAGAATGCGTGGAATTACAATGTAAACGACTCTTGAGTTATATGAAAGATCAATTACAATATGAAAGATTTAGTGACATATTTTACCCCCCAAAAACAAGATTAGTGACACGAATACGATTATGACACTTCTAAAGACTAGTGTCAATAGCCGGCTCTTATAATCTATACTATATAAAAGTTGAGGCTATAAGCCATTGAAAGCGTCCACGTAGGATTTAAGTCTTCCAATCGTAAAATGACACATCATTATTTTAGTTTATTATTTTTAGAAAATGTCATTGTTTCCAAATTATATTAAAAACGAAATTAATATTCCATATATAATTTAACAAAAAAATAAATATTAACATTTTACAAATTACATAAAAATGTTAACTTTATAAAAAAATGGAAAATAAAAAATAAAAACGTAATATTAACAATATATTATTGTCTTTTTAAATATACTAAATGCAAAATATCATTTTTAGAAAATTTCAATGCCCCAATTATATTAAACACG